ACGCCAGGGGCTCGCATCGACCCCCCCCCCGCCCCCCTCCCCCCCCCCCCCACCCTCCCATCAGCCCATATTATGAAAACGGCGAATCAGGGCGGGGTTTTTTCCCTTTGCTAAGGCATAGCGTAAAGAGTATTTGGTAAGTCATCGTAAAAAGGACGTAGAGCATTATTTTGCCTCATTCCCCTCCGCACACCAACCCAGGCACTCACCCCATACGTCCTGCATTCACCCGAACCTCATCCCACCCCCTATGGGCCCAGCGCTGGAGCCGGAGACGGAGTCCGAGCCGGAGCCGGAGTCAGAGTCGGGCACAGGCCCGGCTGGGGCTGGGGCTGGGGCTGGGGCTGGGGCTGGGGCTGGGGCTGGGGCCGGGGCCGGGGCCGGGGCCGGGGCCGGGGCCGGGGCCGGGGCCGGGGCCGGGGCCGGGGCTGGGGTCAGACGGGTTGAATCGAATCGGGTCCAGTCAGGTAACGTCAGGCCATATAAGGTCACCCATTTGGCTGTCGTCTGACATACCTTTATATGTTTGCGGCACGCGCGGAACCCCTCCGCCAGCTGCGACACCACGTTCTTGTGCTGCTCCAGCAGCTGGCGCAGCAGGTGCGAGTAGCGCAGCTCGTCCGCGCTAGACCGGATCGGCGGGAACTCGTTCAGCAGGTGGAACGAGCTGATGTACATGTCGTGCTGCGGACGAGTGGGCGGACGGTCAGAGTTCACGGCCGCTTACGCATTCCAACGAAGTGCGGGGCGCGCCGCGCGGGCCCGCCGTGCGTGTGCGTGTCGTTGAGACTGCCGTCGTCGGGAGCCGACGCACATCGAGACGTTGGTTTAGGGGGCGCCACTGACCAGCAGGTCAAATCAAATGTTGGGATTGGAAGGCTAGCGGTCACACACAGAACAGAGCTGCCGGGAGAGCCGAACCGTGCGGAAACATGAGACCGACAGGTCAGCGCGCAGTTCTACGTAAGAAAGCGACCGCCTTCCGGACAAGAACATGACGGAAAAGCAGGGGGAGAAGGAAAAGCGAGAGAAAGGGAGAGAGGGCAGGGGAGAAAGAGAGAAAGAGAGGGGGGAGTAACGGCACCAAAGAGAGTAGTGAGTCTGCACTAGACGTGCCGTTTTCTGGAAGTTCTTGTGCGAAGTCGAATCTCAAATGCAAGGACGGACCAGCTGTCCGTCCAAGACCAACTTTCTACTGCCTACGACAAAGAAACCCAATTACCACTCGCGTCGCTGCATTTCCTCACTTGAATCGAACGGAAAGAACGAAAAAGATCATGCGTAAGTGATGTGTATCTGCCTTAAATTCGTTGAGATGCGTACCAAGTTGCGACAAGACAGAACGATATCAGCCGTAAAAAACACACCACATCCAACATTTCCCTGCACATCCAACTTCCAAATTTGACTTCAGAAATTTTCGGAATTCAATCAGCACCTCTGGTCTGCACCAGCCACTGCGGAGCAAACTCCACCGATCGCGTGGGGAACCGAGCCCGCAACGACTGACCTAGCTCCGGCGTAGTGACCAGCGGCATGCATACCATCCTCCCGTGAGAGCCACTTACCACTTGCAGGATGCTGGGGTTGCAGCCGATGATGAAGGGCAGGGCGCGGAAGCCCAGGATGCGGTGAGCGATCCGCACCGGCAGCTCCTTCCTCAGGTAGGTGGCGCTGCGCTGCGGCACAACGGTCCACAGGTCACGGCCGCGGCGAGGGGCCGCCCGGGGAACACGCGGCGGTGGCCAGGTCAAGGCTGGGAGAGTACTGACGTGCCGATGCCGGGCCCAACCCGAAGGGCTTCAGGCGTGCTGGTGGCGCTGACGAGGACTGAACACAGCGAGGGACGAGGGGTATGTAGATCGCGGCCGGACACTCCGGGGGATAAGAGCACGCCCACCATCGGGACACACTCCGAGGATTCAGAGCACGCCCACCATCCAGACACACTCCGAGGAGTCAGAACACGCCCACCATCCGGGCACACTCCGACCAGTCAAAACACGCCAACCATTCCGACACACTCCGAGGAGCCAGAGTATGCCCACTATTAGGGCACACTCCAAGGAGTCGGAGCACGCCCACCATTGGGGCACACTCCAAGGGGTCAGAGCACACCCACCAACGGGGCACACCAAGGAGTCAGAGCGCACCCACCAACGGGGCACGCTCCGAAGAGTCAGAACACACCCACTATCCGGACACACTCCTGGGAGCCAGAGCACATGGGCCTTGCATGCACACACTGAGAAACAATTCAGGACATGCTGCTGGTTCTGAGTGCTCAGAGATCTCCTCAACTCACTCCCACAGAAAAGGTCATGAAGCAGTCATGCGTTCCCGTTTAGTTTAAGACAATATGCCCTCATGAACTGCTGGCTCCCCCGTCAGGTTTCGCGTCACAAATGGGTGTTTTGCGGGTGTGTAAACGCCGACATGTAACCGCACGATGTGGACCAGTAGACTATCGTTCGCACAAAACGGTGCGGCAAGATTTATTCAGTAGACGTAAATGTTGTATCGTCATTGACTAGTAATATCATAAAGCATAAAAAGAAAGAATGGACAGGTGCGCGAGTAAATCCATGAGAAAGAAATATCTGACACCAGGTGCCAAATGATTATGTCACAATCATGGCTTATCACGTGCTGCTCAAGCCGAACCTAACCTCCAAATATGCCAAGCATCTCAACGCGGCACAACGAAAGCTAACTCAGCCTTGCAGAGCCTAACCTAGTCTCATGCAGCATGTCTCCAAAAGGTCAAAGAAAGCGTGACACAGCCCAACCGCACGTAAGCGAATCTGACAAGCTTCCGCGGCTTCTGACCACTCAAAACCGACCGTCACCAGCCAGAGCCAACTCATCTGCTGACGTACTCAGTCTTAAACGCACATTCAGGCTGATACGAATGCGCTCACACTGAGCATTGCTGCACTTGCTCTGGTCCTTTCGACAGAGTCCCACAATGGTCACTGAAGTGATGTGGGTGTTGCAAGAACGCACTATCATTGCAGCTGATACGTGCTCCTCCCGATTATATTGTATCGTTGTTGAATGATAAGCTCGCTCAAGAGGTATACGCCCGGAACGTCTTCTCTTAGATTCTGCTCTTCAGTTAGTTGTTGGGTTTCAGGAGCGTGTCAACTGCAAGGGTTAATTACGCCGCTACTGCTAATTTAAAATGACTCTTACAGAAATAAGCTATGCCAAGGGAAAACCCCTCCACCTGGTCACGCCACAGGGCGTCCTATAACATTGCAAACGAGAGGGTGTGAGCTTCTCGTGATACCGTGATAAACCCCTTTTATTGTGACACATTTCAATGCATTCAATAGTATCTACAGCTCTAAATCTATTGGTAATCACCTATGCAGGATCTAGTTTTCCTCTTAACTTGTTCATAAAATGTGTACCCCTTGATGCTTTTCGTAGTAACTTACTTCGATTTACCAGGTTAGTCAGTCAATATTTTTGGAAAAGTTTTCGCTAAAGGTGCTTGCTTGCTCGACTAAAGGTGCTTGCTTGCTCCATGGTGTCGGTGCATTATTTCGGCTACAAATACTGCTGTCGGCAGACGCACGACGGCAAGAAATTTACGCGACATTTCCTCCACTGAAAAACTTATAGTGTACTGTCGTAGTGTTGTAAATTAAGTGTGGGGGTTGGCAGGGATAAGCGGTCAAACCCGCCACCAAATACATAACACATGAAGTTTGCCCTGACTGTGATACACATTCCTGCCACGAATGGGGGGCGGATGGAGGCTTCGACTAAATATGAAACCACATCCCTGGCCTGGTGTTCGCCAAAACGCGGGATTTCTTCTACTGCAGTGATTCGTTTAAGGCCTTAGTGATGCACGAGAAAACCACTTTTTCACAATGTTATACCCATAATTTAGATTTTGCTGACAAAATGAAGACCCTCACTCATGTGCCAGGCACGACAAATCCAAGAAATAAGGTAAAATAAGAAATAGTTTTATCCCGGCACCACCAACTTTTAATTGTTCCTCCGAGCATGCGAACTGCTCTTAAACACCTACTAGGTGTCCACGCATTTTGCACTCCGCCGGCAAAGTATCGACAGCAGAAGAACTGCTGCGTTTGCGTCAAGACTATCGAAGCGGAACTAATGACAGACACATTTTTGAAGTTTGTCGCTTAGCACTTATGTCGCGTTTAAGTGTTTGTAGTACAAGAAACATGGTTAAATAATGTCGGTATAACGCATTGTTGACGTAGTTATGACGGGCATAAGCTTTTGCAGTAAAAGTGTTGTCGTGTAGCACTTATGTCGTGTATAGGTATTGGCAGGAGACGAACTGTCGTAGCATCGTACCGGTAGGCGCTTTTGCTGTGGCACTGATGTCATGGAACCATGCCACTGCCACGCATCTAACTAGACGGCCAAGTCCCGTTTAAGCGCCTAAGTCGCCCCAGGGGACTGGTGCCGCTGTTATCGTCTATTAAAGAAGACCAACAAATACTCAATTCCTTGCTTCCGGGTATCAGGCTTGGGAACGAAGCCGACTGAGGCTTCAGCTTCGTAAAGCCGTAGGTTTTCTCCAATGATTTCAGACACAGCTTCGGCTTTGAGCTTTTTCCACGGTCCCCTTCGTCTTCATGCCCTTTCACTTGATCAACGTCGACTTCGGCTTCGAGTCATTTTTGACAGCTGGCTTCGGCTGCGAGTTCGAACCATATTCTATTTTTACACCGGCTCCGGCTTCACGAGATCTTGAACTACTGGTGTCGGCTATGACACGGTATTTTGTTGATGCTGTGACGGCTTTACTGTATAATAAACCCTTGCCCATCTTGTTACTCCAATTTACTACACAACCTTTCTACGACACACACGTGACTGGAAGTAAAAAACCATCCGGTCAATAATTAAGCACACATCTGGCGACGGCCGGAGAGCGAGCTGACGAAACGTTGTGTCCAAATCAACACAAGACAAGGATAATAGCCCGAACACATCCTCCATTCGCAATACCAACATCTCGTCTCATCCTCTCCACGAAAACCTGATGATATTTTGTGATCTCATACAGTTTTTGGCGGACGCAACAAAAAATTTACTTCGCACAGCTGTGTTGTACAGTAGATTCAGCTCTGGCTTCTGCGCCGTGAATCTAAACTGAAAGGTTTGGCCCTGTCTTTGCATCTCCTGAGCCCGAAGCCGTCGACCTCGACTTCGGCTTCGAGAGCAGGGAGGTCGAGGGCACTGGCTTCGGATTCGGCACCATGCTTGACAAACACAAAGCCAACGTCTTCGGCTTCGGTTTCTTCACAGCCATTGGGTTCGGCTCCGAATTTGGCATCACGTCATTAATTATCTTAGCCTCGGTTTTGGCTTCGAAGCCCGACGTCTGTCTGGCTTCGTCCCCATGCCTGACTGGCACACTTGCCCGGACGGTAAAAAAAGACACGGACAGGGGGCTACGCGAGGGGACAGGGGCACACACAAAACATCCTTCCCAACGTTATGTAAATTATAGATGCATGAAACATATGTGAACAAATGTGGACAATTAAAACCCCGTGACAGACATGTAACGGGAAGTAGATTAAAACATGGGATGCTGCAATACGCCACGCGAGAAATTTCGGGCGCCCGTGGCGTGCCAAATGATCTAGAGAATTTTTTGCTGCATCCTCTCCTCCCTTTTGCGGCATTCTCTATACACCACTGGATACGGGGGATCTCCTGAAGTTCTCTACAATATGTTTCATGATAGCATTAGATAAACCTGACATAATTAATGAAAGCCAAAAAAACAGCGCAGTTTGTTTGCGGCCTTGACGACACTGTATCACGTGTGTGAAAATCTGGAAATTTCCGCCTTACATCACTCCACCGCTGACGTCATGCGGATCCCCGAATTTCAGTCGCGGTTCGGTGCACGGTTCGTCGGAAAGCTTCGCCCACTCCTGAATGGTCATCCGGTTGACGTCATCGTCACGCTGCTCAACAGGAGTGCGAAGATCCCTCGCGCCTCACTGGGGGACGAGTCCGGATTTGGAAAGCTGTGCCTCGGTTATCATCCAGATCTGCAGCAACGAAGCGTGCGGGATACTGCCTACAATATTGTTTTCTCAGCCGCATCGGCACAGGAACTCTCCTCAAGTCGCGAAAGATCTGGCACTGTGGACCTGACACTTTTTAACGTCAATGTCATGCTGGATGACAAGCGCCAAAATAAGAACGAACCAACTTGAAATATCGTCGAGGCTGACATATCACAACAGGAAAGGACCCTTACAATCGTACACATAACGTTATTTACGGTCATTGCTTATTGACGACTACGCACCGGTCATCAGTTCACTTGTATTCCTGTACCGTACCATGCGACCGGGAAGCAGGGAACGACCAACGCCGCCTGCACGCCTCCCCCCCCCCCCCCGCCCCCAAACCAGCAGGCAGCGGTTCGGACCGGCCGAGGCCGCACGGCGCAGCCTATCCACGAGCCGCGCGGCGTGCCCGGCCGGCCAAGGTCATAAAGGGCAGGCGCCTGGCGTCGGTTGGCTCAGTCGCACCCAAGCAGCGGACGGGGGAGCCGGCGGCCGCTTGTGGTGAAAGTGCGCATCAGTAACTCGGTGAGAGGTGGCGGCGCGGAGAGCCGGCGAGTTTCGATTTGGCGGCCAGGGAATGACCGCCGCCCACC